ACAGGTTTAGTCAGTCCACCTTTTACTTTTCGCTCTGCAATGCCGCCGCCTCTTGATAAAACACAGGCAGGACACTTGTCAGGTTCAAAAGCTTGTTTTGATTATAAGGCCTGGAGACAGGTGGCTTGTATTAGCTGAGCCGGACGGAGGTGATGAAATATCATTTATTATTGATTATCATGCATAATAAGAGTCTTCATTTGTCTATAATTTATTGCATTTTACTTCATTTTGGTTTGTAGTTTGATTTTGCTTTTGCAAAGTTAAAGTCCAAATGAGCTGCAAAATAAAATGTATCTCTAATATCACTTTTTATTGTAAATATATGTTATTATTAAGTAGTAAATTAATGCAACTTTTAACTTGAAAATATGGTTGATATTGATGTCTCTTATGTGCCTTTAGAGTCACTCATTATGAATACACTATTTATTATTTGTGCCTTTGCTCAGATTCGGACAGCATGGCCACAACTGCAGATGGCTGCATTCAATTCACACGCCACGCAGGTGACGTCCTGCTCAACTTCAACCGCCTTCGCAGCAGGAACATCCTGACTGATGTCACCATACAGGTGGACGGACTGCATTTTCATGCTCACAAGGCCATCTTGGTGGCCTGCAGGTACGCACCATCATGAGATGTGACACAGTAGCTGTACCTAATGAAGGGGTGCTATTTCTAGACCATATTTAATATTTCTTAGTTCAGTGATTCACCGTCCCTGACGCAGCCACACCATATAATTTCACCAAATAAATTAATTTTCTGTATTTAATGACTCTCATCTGTGCACATGCTCAACACTGTCTCCCCCTCTCTCTCTTATTCTCTTACAGCGGCTTCTTTTATTCTGTGTTCATGAACCCTGAGAACTCAAACCTTAGTGCCATCAGCTTAGACCCCAAAGTGGACCCCAAGGGTTTTTCCATCCTGCTGGACTTTATGTACACATCCTGTCTGAACCTTAAGGACAGTCTGGTCCTGGCCACCATGAACACAGCCATCTACCTGCAGATGGAACATGTGGCCGACACCTGCCATAGATTCATCAAGTCCAGGTAAAGGAAAATAGAAAATAATGACAAGAAGCACTCTAATGTTTAAAGAGATCTGAGTCACTAACTTATTGAATATGTTTCTGCAGGCATCAGTCTGTTAATGTTGAAGAGGTACAGATCAACTCATTACATCTGGCTAAGGAGATCCCTGCTTTGAAGCTTGTCGATAAAAAAGAGCCAGACTTTCAAAACAACCACACATCGACCTCACCCCCTCTCCAGGACTGCAAGGGCTACATCCCCAATATTTTCAGGGGGATTAACACCTCTGGCTCCTATCACGTCTATGGAGACCTCCATGCCCCTGCCGGGAAGCTAGAAGCCTCCCATGTGGTCAGCGACCTTCCCAAAGGGGGCACTTTGTCCCAGAAAAGATGCTCACAGGTACCCAGCACCAACATGGCTCACAATGAGTCCATTACCATCATCTCCCACGCTGTTCCATCCCACCCCAGTTTCCCCACCACTATCATCCGACCGGCAGGAGCCAACGGGAGCCTTCAAAAGCCCGATACTCCAATGGAGGAAGACAGCATTCAACATCCACAGACCAGCTGCCTAAGATTGTCTCCAGGTTTTATCAAAGGTGTGATTTGTAGCCCTCAGAGCCCCCTCAGATCTGACTGCCAACCAAACTCGCCCACTGAGTCTAACAGCAGCAGAAACGCCACACTGAGCCTCAAACAGCCCTCAGACTGTCCCAAAGACGCCAAGGCCCGCAACTGGAAGAAATACAAGTTGATCGTTATGAACCAAGCTCCCGATGAGAATGAAAAGGAGGCTCAGGGAGGCAGCGCTGAAGCTTCGGCCATGTCCCCTACCCCGAGCCCCTGCAGGAGTGGTGCAGTGGGTAGACACTGTGAGGTCCAGGCAGAAGAGGGAGCCAGCGAGCACAGAGAAGAAATTCTGATGTCGCAGAATATGGACAGCTGCAGCAGCAGCAGCACCTGTAGCAGCATCAGGTAAACCTTCAGCTCACTTTGAGAACAATGATAGAAAAGAAGAACTAAACTTTATATTAACTCGCTGGTCGTGTTTCTTTGTGCAGCAACCGCAGATGCTCCTCCTGTGGCTGCGACAGCCCCCGGTGCATGGAAGTGGGTCACCTTTCTCCTTTCTCATACAGCAGAGATGACACCACCAAACTACACTCAGAGTACTCCTCCTCCAGCTGTGGTAGGTGGACTCACACAAGTGCCATACTATTATTTTGTATATAAATTAAAACCAGTGATTTGGCAGGATTATTTTAAACAAAATAATTTTAATTCGCTTCGCTTTTATTGCTTCTTTCTACAGAAAACAACACCTACTTCTGCAACGGATGTGACTCCAAGTTCATAGAGGAAGACTCCCTAAAAGACCACATGGTCCAGGTCCACAGTGACAAGCCATACAAGTGCGACTGCTGCCAGGCTGCCTTCCGCTACAAGGGCAACCTGGCCAGCCACAAGACCGTTCACACCGGTAAGATTAAGCATTCCTATAAGTGGCATCAAATTAACTTAATGGATGTGACTGTGTCATTAATTGCACAACCTGCTGCTCTTAAGGTTCAAAGCCCTACCGCTGCAACATCTGTGGTGCCCAGTTCAACCGACCAGCCAACCTCAAGACCCACACCCGGATCCACTCTGGAGAAAAGCCATACAAGTGTGAGACATGCGGCTCCAGATTTGTCCAGGTGAGAAAAAAAAAATCATAGCCACATCTTCAGGAGAGCGTTGCAGCCTTTAAGTGTATGTGTTTTAATACATCATATCATTGTCCTGCAGGTGGCCCATCTTCGTGCCCATGTATTAATTCACACAGGAGAGAAGCCGTACCCTTGTGAGATCTGTGGAACGCACTTCCGCCACCTTCAGACGCTCAAGAGCCACATGCGTATTCATACCGGAGAGAAGCCTTATCATGTAAGCTTCCTAGTCAGTCCTACCTCCTTATCCACTGTGTCTGCTGGCTAAAAAGAGAGTAATCCCTTCTCCTTCATGATCAGTGGGCCTATCAATAGTTTTAAGTCCTGAGTAGTAATCCTGGAGCGGCTATGACGTATAGCTGTGGACTGAGCTGGTGCGTCACACTGTCCATTTGAAAAGTGATTCTAAATAATTTTTCCTTTTCCTCAGTGTGAAAAATGTGACCTCCACTTCAGACACAAGAGTCAGCTGAGGCTTCACCTGCGACAGAAGCACGGCGCAGTCACTAACACCAAGGCTCAGTATCACAGGACGCCCAGCAACATCAGCACAGGGCTGGTGAGCTCCTGCTGAGCCTGTCTGCGGTCCCGTCTGTCGGTTTTGTTTTCCTTTTGCATCGGCTGCCATGTTGTCAAAAAGATTTAAATTTTTTACTGAAACATAAATACTATATATGTATATAGATATACATATATATATATATAATTTATGCCCTTTATGCATTTGTATATGATGCATATTACTTAATGTAAGCTCTTTGGTATTTCAAAGGTTGTAGAAGTTTATGCTTTTGTTATGAATGAATGTCTAACAACAGAATGTACATTTTGAATGTGAATTTGAGCTGGTATTTCTCTGTTTTGCAAATCACTTAACAGAATGTTAGAATTGAAGGACAGTCCTCTTTCTCATTTGGATCGAGACTCACTGTTACAGTTATGCTTTAGATATTGGTTTGAATTTGCCCAGTAATGTGGTCACAGTATATGCAGTTATTTTTCATTAGGTTGTTTTTTTGTAAATAAGATAATATATTTTCAGATTGCCATCTGCTGGCAGAGTACAAATATATTTACGTTAAGTTTGTTTTTCTTACGTGCAGTGAGCCTCACTGACTGTCAGTAATACAAGGGCTTGTTATTTTGCTATTTCATAGTTTGCGGTACGTATTGTGATATGTACAGATTGTTATTCATTTAATAATTGGTATGAACATATTTTCTTTTTTGCAATCATTTGTAGGCTCTTGTTGGTATTTTGCACATACTCATGCTGTAATTCATATATTTTCATACTTTTCACTCAAATAGATCTACTTAAAATGTTCTTGACATGTTGAAATTGTTCATTCGACCTATATTCTTATTTATATTCTAACTTTCCTTTGCTGTATTGTATTACATGTTGGTGCTGATCCATTTTCCCCAGCGGGATCATTCAAGATTGATGGTATTGTTTCTAACCTTATGTATTATAGTGCACTCGTATGAACCAGTATATTCATAGTGCCTTACATTCACACTTTTATATTGGCGACCTTTGCAGACTATGAATACATTATAAGTTTGACAAAACAAAAGCCCGATAGTTAAAAGCGCTTTTGTGATGCACATCACATTTGGTACGTTTCTCTATTGTCATGTGTATGCACGTCAGGTACTGTTTGTTTTGGAAGCTGATAATCTGTTATGTGTAGCTCTTAAAATGCAGATACACCAGGCCTCAAGCTAAAAAATGCTCAGGAATATTAGTAATATGTAAGCAAATGTCTTTGTAACTGCAGATTACATATATATTACATGAAAATAAAATGTACATTATGCAACACTTGTGTTAATTGATTTGAAGTGATATGGTTCTGCAGGTATATGTGAAGAATACATGCTAAACCTTCTCTTTGGCTCTCCCTGGTGTCTGACTTGAGGTAAACATTTTAAGGAGCACAGATGGTTTAGTTAGGCCATTAAATAGCCTCTATTTGTATGTACGGAAAATAATTTTCAAGTGGACAAAAAAGGACTTATTCATCAATAATTACATGAAAAAAAATTTAAATTGAAAGAAAAACTTCAGATGAACTAATCATATAATCTATATAATAATATGTGTTGCTGAAATATACTGTATAATTTAAAAAATAATTTAAAAAGTGAGACTGTAAAACTATAACAATAAAATGTAGGATGTGTAGAAATACATATATCTATATATATTTTAGCACTTATTTACCGGAGTCAAAATATTTACTACATCACTCATTATTTATTTATTGATGAATGAGACATTTTTCATCTCGCATGTAATATCCAGCTTGAAGTGAATTGGGAAAAAAAGAAAGAAATCGGATAAAATCTTGACTAAACTTGCTAAAATTACACAGTGATATCCAGCACCCCCTGCTGACTGATTAGGTTGAAAGCCACCAAGTGCCACCACTAGTCAAATATACAAATAACAACAAACAATAAAGCACATGCAGTATAAATAGTAAACCCTGACATAGTTCCGAATTTTAGATTAACTGAACAAAACAAAGGGGAAAAAGTAATTGTTTTTACTGTTCAGTTTTATCTTTCCTCCTTCAAGTGGGTACAGATACAGTACAAATTTAACAAAAGGTTCAGTTTTATCTTATGTTTAGACTAGTTTCAAATGTCATAGCCGTGATGAATCACAACAAGGTGTTCTGCTACAGAGTCAGTCAATATTCATCGAAGAATGAGCCATCTTTCACTGAAACACACTTTATAATACTACATGGCACAAAGGCAACAGGTCATGCCCATGTAATGCTGTCCATTAAACATGAGACAGATATTTTATGCACTTTATTTGGACGCTATTGGCTGTTCAGTGTTAAGTCTGCCGTCATTACGTCAAACAACTATTTGGTCTGAAGCATTATGGCTGCTTCCAATGACATGATACTCTGAAGACATTAGTGATATATACCATTTTTCGAGAGATTTCTAGTAACTAGAAGTGTATTTGATTGACAACAAAGTGCTCCTTTAAGCAAATGATATATTTTGTTCCTATGCAACTCAAACTACGATGAAAGACAGTGCAGACAAACTGTAGCTGCTAAGCATTTCTACCTCACTCATTCATACCAATACATATAGTACTCTCACTCACAACCAGTGCAGAATTTACAAAAGAGATGGAAAATTAACAAAAAACAGTAACCGAAAGTAAAAAGTCATATGAATGGACATATAAACTTATTATAGTGTACTTGCAGTTGATACAAAGAAAACTACTAAAAGGTAAATGAATGTTGTTGGCAGCAGGAGAAACTCAACCCTCTTTGTCTAGGACGGCTTTCACATCAGCAAATACCTGAAAGAGAAAAACTGTATTTTAGTAACCTGAGTGCTGCACATATTTATAACTCAGGTCACAAGTAAAATACATAGAACACATACAACATTTAAACGTGTAATTTTGGGCATCTTCCTTATTAGTTATGATAACATTTTACTCATCAACATCATTACAGAGACTTGAGGATGAGGTGACACATGAAGTGACAACAGCTTTATGACGGGGCAAAAACAACAGTCACGTCATCAGACAGGTTTTAATATAATTCCCATTTGAAGGATATTATCTGAAGCAGGGCTCCAACTAAAGATTATTTACATGATTGATTACTTTTTTATTAATCAATTAATCATTACATTTCATACATACATCTCAGAAAAAGTTTAAAATGTGAATCACAATTTTCCCAGTGCTCTAGGTGACGTCTACAGATTCAGTCTTTTATTCAATTACCGGACAAAAAAGACATTAAACAATGAATGTTCTGCATTTGATACAGGAAGTGTTTAGTACATTATCAAAATAGTTTCGGATTCATTTTGTAGTATAGAAAGTTAATGTTTTCTGCTAAAACCCCGGAAATTTTCTCTTCTCTCTACACAAACGAGGCATCTCTGCATCACCATGCATTATGTCCAGTTGTCTATAGGCCGCTGACAGAGAAAAGCAGGCGCCCTTACATAAGAATGTTGTATCAGAGACATAAATATTTTTTGAGTATTAACCCAGATCGCTCTGAATTAATGGCGAGTAAAGTGTTAAAACCGAAAGGGGTGAAAAACTCAAAACACAGAGAACCAAACTGTTATGACTGTCAATCATCTGTTGCCCAATAATGGCGCTGCAACATCTCAGCCTTACAGTCTGGGACGTCACCTTTGTTTCTGAAGTGATGTTTATAAAACTAGGATTACTACCTCCTATCATTTCTGTCTTTAGGTGGAGCCAGTGAATCCAAAGTTAAGTTTTTATGTTGGGTTGAGTTTGAGTTTGAGTATCCTGTGGCCACTCTGGCTTTAACATCCATGGGTAGAGTTCATGAATGCTTACTTACCTCATCCACAGAACGAGAGGCATCTATAGTCCGCACCTTTCCAAGTTTCTCATACAGTTCAATGATTGGTCGTGTAGACTGCAGGTAGGTTTGGATTCTGCATCACAGAAAAACATGCATGGTTATTGGGGTCAGATGACACAGGGGACTCAAATGAGGCACAAATTAGGTCAAAAACACACGTGCAGGTATCCAACAGTCGGCTAAATGGGTCAGACAAATCTATACTGATCAGACATGTTTGTTACAGACAGAAGAAAATCAGTACATAAAATCAATTAATGGTAAAAGACAGCAGTATGCCTTCACAGTAACTGCACTCAAAGTATTTTGTCTGTGTTTCAGGACTGTACCTTTTCTCCAAGCTTTCTCTGTTGTCATCTGAGCGTCCACTGCTCTTCCCTCGTTCTAGACATCTGTTGATGCAAACCTGTGGATAAAAAAGACAGAGGTCATGTGCTCATTGTAAAATCAGCTCAGTTCTCTGCATGCTTCTAAAAACAGCTGAAGGGGTTTTAGTTTTCTAGTTTCCATGACGTACCTCATTGCCGCAGTCAAAGAAAAGCACAAATTTGACATCTGCTTTGCCATCCATGACAGTGTTCCACCCCTGAAGGTTGTCCTCGTTACGGGGGAAACCGTCTATAAGGAAACGGAACTTTTTCTCATCTTTCTCCATTGTCTCCAACATTGCCTTATAAGACGAAAACAACAACAAACCTTTTACTCCTAATGCAAATTCACAGAAGCAGCTGTTTATTCAAAGGACAAATCGGAACCTGATGCCAGAGCGGCCAATTACAGTTACCGGTATCAAGGTGCTGACAAACTTAAGTAAGAAAACTGAACAGTCTGACAGTGCAAATGTGATTTTACTGGTATTTTAAAACACACTATAAACATTAAAACATTAACAACCATCCATGTCAGACATGGTCTTGGATTACAACCAATAAAATCTAAGCAAAAATATGTTTTTTTTTGGTTCTTCATGCATTGCTTATTCTTTCATGAATTATTATATGTAAAAAATAATGATAACACAAGTTATCAGAGCTTAAAGTGTCTTTAAATTATTTATTATGCCTGACCAACAGTCCAACAACCAAAATACTTTAATCTAAATGATATGAAACACAAAGAAACAGTAAATCCTCAAATTCAGAAGGCTAGGAGAAGCAATTACTTCTATATTTACTTCATAAATGACTGAAGAAATGCATCGTCACTATTTAATAACCAGTAAATTAAGTAATAGGCTAAGAGGAGTTGCCACCGGCATGACTAACCAACAGAGTAGATTCAAACTCAAAGCTTTTTTAGGGAAAATTTAAAATCAAAGTTTAAGTGTAATTTTCACTCTTTGCTTATTTTTATATTTTATACCTTGACAAAAGTGCAGTTGTGTAAACAAACAGGTCCTGACTGAAAGTGTCTGACTCCTGGAAGACTGATGAGGGTTTGCCTGTTAGTAGGCAAAAAAAAACCTGATTTACAGGCTGTATTTGGTGCATACCTTCTTGAGTAAGTTGATTGTGATGTTCACAGGGACAATTTTGCCCTCCTTGATGTAGTTGGCAATGAGTTGTCCGAACTCTGACCCCTCTCTAGCTCGCTCTTCTCTCAGCAAATCCCCAGCTGACAAATGGGTGTAGTTGTAGCTCTGAGAGACAAAAATGCACAAACAATTTTTAAGTTGATCTCATGTAAACAGTATCAGGAATCAATATCTGCTGAGGGGAAAGTGACAGTTGGTCAAAAAGCTTCTATTAACACTAAAACTCTGCATTTGAGAGGACTAAATTATTCTCACTCACAGGCCAGGAAGAAGTCAACCCCTTGTGCACGTAATGAAAGGAGCCTCTATGCATTGCTACCAATCAGGCTTAACCACTGTATTTGACGCATGGCAGCCAACACCCAGTAACATCCGTGAACAGGAGTAGTTAGAGTTAAGTCTCTCTTATAGAAGCTCTCCCTCAGTCAAACACACATCAAAGAATCCACACTGGCCCCCAGCAGAGCTGCAGCTTCAGCTTCATCAGCCTTCATCAGCTTGACTTTCAGACAAACATCAAAGCAGCTTCCTGGAGTAGAGTTCTGGCTTTTTCAAACTTTTTGGGTGGCTTGTTAGAAATAACTTTCTGTCAAACCCATACTGCTTCTTCGGTGTAGTGCACGATGTAGAAGACATGAATGAAGAGAGAATCTTTACCATTGGACTGTTTAACTCTGCTTAACATCAGCCGTGCTCTATAGTCCTACCAAGTTTACAGACTGATCTTTATCAATCTCTATTATTAATAACAACATAGCAGATGAGTAACAGCGGGCAACAGTATATATATCTGAGTGCATAATTGCATCAAACAGATTAGAGAAACTAAAAGGTGCCATGGTAAATGTTCCTCAGCCAATAAATGTCTCGTCACCATCTGTTTCTGTGTGTTCACAGTGATTGTGGAGTATCCAAGTGCACTTCAGACTACCACTGTCCATTATATAACTGCACACATGAGTCAATGATAAGGTTACAACATGCAGCAAATGTCAATAGGCTGTCTCCAGTTTGCTGTGTGTGAAGCTAATGAGCATTACATTTAGCCTGTTCGCTGAGGCGTTTTAGTACACAACAACATATTTATATATTTTATTCTTCTTTTGAGCTCAGAAGAATTAAAAATATTAAAATGGGACTTTGTGTCTCCTGTATATCAGCACAGAAACTGTATATCCTGTGTGGCTAACTAGCTAGCTGGCTAACAGACAGGTTCATTTTAGAGGACAACCGGAAGTCAATGTAATTTAGACATTGCCTCATAAAAACTGAGCTATTAAAACCCACAACCATCGTGAAATCCGCTCAATACTATCTCCATCACGACATGCTAAATCCTAACCATCAAAGTCAGTATTGTAGTCTCCATTGTCCTTTCTCTCTCCATCTCTCGTACCTCCACGATTTTGCAGCACTGGGTCCCTTTGCCGGCGCCAGGCCCGCCCAGCACGAACACAACCTGCGGATTCATCATCAGCGACACCCGGTACAACAAGCTCGGCACCCTCTGAGACACGGAACCGAACCAACGGCCGATCATAAACCAGCAGAAGCAGCTACAGGCGTGAACCGGCGGGGTGGGGACAGTAAGTAGCCGAGCTGACCGGTGAATGCGTGTCAGTACCGGAGGGAAGTCGATGGGGCAAACGACACCACTTCCGCTGTTGACTCCAGCGACCAATGGGGCTCCACGTAGGAGTGACGCAGGCACGAGGCCACGCCCACTTGCACTTGTTATTTTTTTTTTTCAACGCAGAGCTCGGGTGACGCCCCTCCCCTGCCTCTCCAGCATCAGCACCTCCAAAACCGAACAGGGCGACCCGCGGTTGGGGAAGGATGCTCTCCGGTCCGCGATGCTCACCAACGCGAGGAAACGCAGCGACGAGACGGATCACCGACAGACGCTCGAGCCGCTGGGTATAGTCCCTGTTTTCTGCACGTTTATGCTGCCTCGCTGCCTCCATTCATGATGCACCATTCATGCATCCCCAAGAATGGAAACACTCTGCGAGGAAAACATAAAAATAGCCCGTTATAGCCGTGTTGTCTCGCTTTTGTAAGACACATTCTCGCTCGTTTGATGAAGCCTCTTTTCATGTAGGTCAAGGTGATGAAGAGCCCGATTTTGTCTTTTGAGGGCGCCGCGCGAATGTAGGGCTAATACAGGAAAGCCAAGCAAACAAAAGGCATCCAGCCCCCCTGCTCTGACGCACCTGGCTGCCCTGTCGCCACTTGACATGACAGCGCAGAGCCGGGAGCAGAGCAGCAGGATCAAGGGGCACCGACGTGCAGCCGGACGTGTGGACTCGACAGGGACTAGAGGAGCCTCCGGACGCACGGCGGAGAAGCAGCAGCAGCCCAGGGGAGGCCGGATTGCAGTTTCTGGGGACGAGCGCCAAGGGCAGTGCGGCAGTCAGCAGGCAGACCGGGGGGAGGAGGCTGCGGAGATCTATGATACTTCCCCCCCAGGCCCCACTGCGCTCTCACCTCCACATCATCCTGATAATATGATGGTGGATGTTTTTATGTTTGATCAATGGTGACTGTGATACTCCCCATTCAGTTTCTCTCAATTTTTCATTCCCAACCAATCAGTGGTGATGGGCAATTAAAAGATTAGATCTGCTCTTCAGGCAAGGGTGGAACCCGGAGGGGACTGATGTGCATACTGGCCAGGTATCATTTGCTCCCTTCTTCTCTGGTTTTGCTCATTTTGCTTGTCGCCTGCACTATGGGCTGTATTCAGAGCATTGCATGCAAGCCCCGCATCAAACGGGAGAACATTGTGGTATATGAGGTGTCGGCCTCTATTGACCAGTGTCCCACCATCATTGAGGAGAACTCACCGATTGTGCTCCGTTACAAGACGCCTTACTTCAGGGCCTCAGCAGGGGTTGTGATGCCACCAGTGCCCCGTAATGAGACCTGGGTGGTTGGCTGGATCCAGGCTTGTACCCAGATGGAGTTCTACAACACCTATGGTGATATTGGCATGTAAGTGTATAAAAGACCCCATCACAACATGAACTTTTGCCACAGAATGAGTGTGAATCAGTGTGTGTGTGTGTTTAGTATGTTGTTTGGATGTGCACACTCACACACACTCAGGACATCTACACCACAAACCTGCACCTGCCACAGCAAAAAAAACAAAAAGCCGCTCAACCTCTCACTCTGTCCTCCGCTGTCCAACTGCCGCAGGTCCAGCTGGGAGTTACCAGAGCTGCGAGAGGGTCGGGTCAAGGCCATCAGTGACTCCGATGGCGTCAGCTACCCCTGGTATGGCAACACCACAGAGACAGTCACCCTGACTGGACCCACATCCAAACCGTCCCGTCTGACGGTCAGCATGAACGACAACTTCTACCCCAGCGTGACCTGGGCTGTGCCCATCAGCAACAGCAACACGCCGATGCTGACACACATCACCAGGGACCAGAGCTTCATCACCTGGCTGGTGGCCATGAACTCTGTCACCAAGGTAGGACAAAAACGGACAGAGCAGCCTTACACTCAAGATGAGACAACTCACATCTTAACAAATCACTATGTTATTGTCTTTTGCACCAGCATGTCACAGATATGTTTTCTCCAGTTTAAATGAAGAACACTGGCTATACATCAAACTGCTCCTGCACTACATACACAGACAGACTGTGATGTAATCATCTCCCCCTGCACTTTCCCTTTCTGGTGTAAAGTTACAAAGCACCTCATCATTGCCTTCTCCTGAATAAAGCCCCTGCAATGGCCTGTCAGGAGTCAGTACAGTATTCATGTATTGTCTTTGTGGAAGAGTTATATTCTCTCAGGCTATTATATAGAAAATTGGCAGGCCCGTTTGCTTCATTGTTGGTTTGTAGTTTGAGAGCCGCATCCAAACTTTCTTCAGTTTATATTCAGCAAAGTGTAAGTGATACACCATTTATTAGGCTACACTTTAACCACACATCTATCAGCAGTAGAGGATGTAACACACAATCAACTTAAGCTTTAACAAAACACTCTTCATGTACTTAATAAATAGACTGCGTCCTGCATACACATATAAAAAGCATCGACCATATTAACTATAATTATGCTGCTCTCCTCCTCCAGGAGCGTATCGTGTTGCAGACGGTGCGGTGGCGGATGCGGGTGGACATTGCCGTGGACCCAGACATGCCCCTGGGCTCTCGGGCCTCGTTGGTGGGTCGCCCCTACCAGGAGCAGCCGCACATCCTCAACTACCAGGAGCCCATTCCTCCCAACGCGTTGGGGAGGCCGAATGCCAATGACGCCCAAGTGCTAATGTGGAGGCCACGGAGAGGGGCACCACTAGTGGTCATACCGCCAAAATAAGAGGGTCGACTGATTGCATAGACAAGTAAAATTGATCCCTCTTGCATAAAAGTGGGTGTGAAGGTGTCATAAAGCCTATCAGAGAAGAGAGAAATTATGGTTTGCCTGCGCTCAGGATGCCAGTGGCTCATTATCCTTGAAAGATTTAAGTGGACCATTACATCAAGCCAGAGTGCACATCTTGGATATGACACACTACGATATCAAAATGGAAGTCTACAACAAACTAGTGTGAAGGGCCCCACTTGCATCAAGGCTTATTTGGCCCCCGCCAAAGTTTTGGACTGCATTAAAGAGTTCTGCCTGCTTTTTAGCGAAGAAGGAACGCTGTTTTTTTAGACGTATCACAGAGGTATTAGACCACAACGAGAACTGCATCCTGCATCCTTATGTAGATCTTATTGCATGAGAGAGTGAGAAAGACACAAAAACTGTCCTTCAGAAGTTTAAGAATAGCATTTGTTTTGTATAACTTGATACCTGAAGACATTTTGATTGAAAAGTCAGCCCCAAAAAAACCCTGCGGGCTGGTTAAACCTCGTCAGTGCCAACAAAGGCCTTTTTCAGCACACTCAGTACCAGAGTTAAAGGATGTATTCAGAAGATTTAAAGAGACAAAGTATTATATGAATCTTTTTAGTTTAAGATTAACTCATGCATCAGTCAGATTGTATTAAGAGCACCCACCTTGCATAAAAGTCTGGAAGAAAAACAAATACGCTGTAGTTTTCTCTGGAGTTTTGCTAATACACCAACATATTTTCAACTCACTCGCCTCCGCAGTGCAGCTGATATTGTATTCAGTTGGGTGACAAACTATCAGAGAGATGAGCTGGACCTGTTAGCAAATTAAATAAATAATGTCAGCTATGCTTTTAATAAGTGCAGTGTAAATGACTTGGAACAGTGCCATACAACAAATTTAAAACAAGAAGGTGATAGCAGTCCAGGTCACATTGATCATAGCTGGAATGAGGCCCAAGTGTACTCAGGCCTAAAGTAGACTTGATGTGGTACTAATCAGACCATGTTGCACTACCAAGTTACATAAATCTTCCTACAATCAGGGAATCCAAATGTACTCTGACAGCTTCCTTGGTGTGGAATTAAACCAGACTGCATTTTGAAAGGGATTTATTTGAATTAGTGCCATTTTTATTGCTGGTTGTATGAAGTCATATCACAGTTTCCCCGCATATCATTAATGTTTGTTATTTTGCAGTAGTGTTTCTTCAGATAATCACAGACAAAGGCCTTCTTGTGTCACGGCTATGGTCTGTCCAGTGGCTCGTACTGGGCCCAGTCCAAGTCCCTGCCTGCCACTCCACGCACAAGTCACATGACTCATCCTCCATCTGTGCTTCTCTCCAGGTTCACGCCTCACCTTCCCATCTGCCTGCTCATTTTATCCCCTGTGTCTGTCCACCTCATCATACACACACTATCTCCATCCAAATATTCTCATTTGCTCTGAAATCCACAACTATGCAAAGATTATCTGTGACTGTGCAAACAAAAAACAGAGGGAGAAAAAAATGGTAAAATAGAAAAGATGTATTGTTTTTGTTCATCTGCCTCAATTCTGTTTTTATTTGTCAGGGATATTGTTGAATAAAAATGGCTGTTACTACCATGTAAAATAATCAAAGAGGTTAAAATAGGTTATATTAATTGAGTGTGTCTACATTTGTCGCGGCACCGCAGCTCATTCAGCCATCTGTTGCTATAGAGACTGGTTTGGTGTTTCTGAGTGCACTGCAACTGGAACAAAAAAAAAAACAGTTCAAAATATTCATGGGTGTGCCTAGCTCTGTGTGTATGCATTAGTATGTAAACTGAGAGAGTGTGCACACATACACACTTACAGCTCCAATTTATCCATTCATGTCACTTTGAAGTAAGAAAAAAGATCAAGGCAGAGCTGGTTGTTTCAGCATGAAAGATGCCTTAATTTATTCATTTGTTCTTACATAAAGACCTTTATTTTGCATTTAAATAACAGTAGAATGAGTGCTTTTGATATAAATACTCTAGACTGTGAGCAGCAAGGTCAAAGCAGTAATATCCCATCTTATCTCATCTCATATAAAAAAGGACTTTCAGCATCTTTGAACAGAGGTAACCCCTCCTCTTTGCAGCAAGTTTGCTCCTCATTCCACCACTAGATGGAAGCTCTGTCAAGGATTTTCCTCTCTTTGAGGGAAGTGCTCTCAGCACCAGTAACACCAACAACAGTAACTTTTTGTTTTATAAATACACCCCCTTTCCCCATATCCCTTAACACATAAATACACAATTGAAATATTGAACTATAAAACACAGATTTGCAAATGACCATAAAGCCATGCTTTCATCATACTCTACTCCTGGTCCCTTTAAATGAATCGACAGTATGTTTCCATGGGATAATTCAGTCCAACTATGTTTAGTTTAACTGCAACAATGCCTGATGACATGACAAGTCAGCTTCACTGTATTCCTGTTAGTATTTTCATAAGAACCTTTGTACCCTCTTTTGTAGCATTTTTCCAGAGGAGTGATGTGGTACATTTAGTCTCAACAGTCTCCAGCTGCAGTTGTTTGGCAGTAATAGGTTTTATCACTTCCACTTCATGAATTTCTTTCTGCCAAACAGAGTTAGAGTCCTGCTGTCTATGTTGGGTGCCGGCTGTCACTTCTGTCAGGTAGCACAGCCCACAGACGCCTCTGTTTATACTTTCATGGCACTGCTACTGGCAGGTTTGTGCTCGTAGCCGTAAAGAAATGTGGCGGCAATAACCAGCAGTGACCCTAGGAAAAATACCCTGAGAGGAAATAAAGGAGAGAAAATAAACAGGCATTAAACATTTATTGAATAAACAAACAATTGTGTCCTCAGTTTATGTCATGTAAATGAGACTCAGTGCCTGCAGCCATACTAACACCTCTCTGTGTTGTACTTAGACACAGTGGTGCTTTAAGCTAAATGCTAACATGAGCATGCTAACGTTCACAATGACATGTTAACATTGTGTAAGTTTCAAGATGTTAACCAGGTACAGTGTTTACCATGTTCTTCATCTTAGTTAAGCATGTTAACATTTGCTGATTAGCACTAAACAAAAAGTACAGATGATGGGAATGTCATTAGTTGCAGGTATTTGGTCATAAACCTGGATAACTGAAACTTTGACCTGAAGATGAAGCTAGAAAAAAGGTCTAAGGATCACCACAGAACATGGCAATACATCCAATACTTGTCAAGATATTTCATTCAAAACCACAAATGTCAACCTCATGGTAGGACTAGAGGAAAAATCAGGTCAAATCACCACTTCATGACAATCAATTCTTTGAGTTGTTGAGATAATTCAGTATGGACTGAAACCAACAGTATATGATTGACAGATCCAAACTAAGCCTCGTGGGAGTGTGCATGAGCATGTGTGTGTTTACCCAGTAGGGTTAAAGTCCTCCAACAGGAAATATGAAATGAGTGCAGACACAATGATGGACAGAGAGGTGGCGAATCCTTTGAGAATGTTGTCTGCATATTTAATGACCATGGCTATGACCAACCCGCCCAGAGCCTGCAGACAGAGAATAATGTATTTGAAAGCTTGCTGCACTCACATGGAGACATGTACACCAAACACACCAATGCATTTCAATGACACTTCGATAAATACAGATGTAAACAAATGGGACACAAATGATAAAGTGAGAATGAAAAGAAACAGTGATTCTTACCTGTAAGACAACGACTGTGCAGGTAATAGTGCTGTAGCCCTGAAACATTCCCGACTGTCTCACTCTCTGGCCGTCATATACTATCATTCCTACCAAGCCGAACACGAAGCCAAATAAACCTGAAAGAGATCACGTTTGCTGACTACAAGGTATACACACACAGGAGAGAATGTAACAGTTTAATCAAGGTTATAATCACCATTGAACTGAGAATTTTCAACAGGAGAGAAGAAGTAAAAGAGAGTCTGTAACCCTTTAACTACCTACCCTCTGTCCCAGTCGTAAAAAAGACAACAACAGTTCTCTTTTAAAATATATATGAGGATGTTGTAAACCATTTCATTATTAGCCATAAACCATAAAGGTCAAATAACAGGTCATCTAAGTGTGCAGCTGGAGAGCGAGATAGCATGAAACTCATTCATGTTTTTTCAGATATCTCCTCTTAAAGGGAAAACAAGATTCCTTCTCTGACCAAACGTATCATTGAACGTATCGTAATTTCATGCCTCTGAATTTTAGTGTAACAGAAAACCCAGTTTCACTGACACGCCACTTTTCTTAGTAAAGAATTTGATATCTCCAGCATGAAAGCCTTTAAAAGCATAATAGGGTCACTTTTGTAGCATGCCTCTTCTTACTGCTATGGGAGGAAGATCAGACATTTCTTGGCCAGAAAACCTGTTAATCTGGCTCGTGAGGCTACGGGAAATTAGGCAATAGCACTAAAATAAAGTTTGGATGAGTAATTTCACAATTATTTTGTCAGGAAATGAAAACACAACTGTCACTTAATGTTAAAAGTCTGTACCATGTAGAAATAGATCTCATTAATCTGTGTTCATGTGAAAAACAGTATGTTAGCCACTTGAATATTTATGTACTTACTGAAAAGTCTTTTAGTTTGACATAAACTCTCATATAGTACACAGAATGTAAACCACGTGAATCAGTCAAATTGGGAACATTAACAATCTCTGTAGTAGTAACAAAGAATGCTAACTCAGCATGTCCATGTGTTATATCACAAACAATATTTTCATCTTCACAGGCATTCAGTACGCTAGAAGCCTCAAGGTTAATGGGGAATTTGAGGTGAATGCTGCAATCAAGTGGCACGACAAAAGAGGAACACACAAAAGGCTTGCAGCTAGAGATAAGAAGAGCCATGTTGCATAAGTGACACAAATATGAAGGGGGGTTACTCTAAAGAAAAACATTGCTAATTTCTCTTCTTTCACCTGCAGCAAGACCATTTCTTTCATATCTTTAAGAATCAAGGTGGCGGTAGAGTGTGCCAACATTAGGAGTGCCAGTGAAGGTATAATATTTCCTGTGTCACTAGATTACAGTGACCTGTAAAAAGCTGCATTTTCTCAGACTTTGTAAACCTTTCGTCAGAGTCACAGATCACAGTATGCACCTGAGTACTACAAGAGCAAATGAGACTGTCATATCTTTGGTACAGCTTTCTAATGAAGTTAGTGTGTACATATTTTAAAATTGTGACAAGGGGCTCTATTAATGTTAATAAATCATTAATTGAGACGTAATAGTTCAGCAATAACCCATCAATGAGATGGGGTTGCCAGGTTGCAAAAAATCCCTCAGCTTCTAATCCATTAAATGTGCTTTGTAGGCATTTCAGAAATAGTTTTGCTTAGGCAATGAGCTACAATTCATATAGAATTTGGAAAATGATTAAAACCTTATATCAGGTCATGTATGTGTCGAACAGAACATGAATTTGAGTGTAAGAGGAGATTGGGTTAGGGTGAAGAAAACAGCACCCATCAAACTCAGTATAACAAAAGTCTTATTGTATATTATGTCTCTTAAGCACACACACACACACACACGTCACACACAGACCTACTGTGCACAATATTCCCTCAACACATATGGTCTCATCCTACTAAACAAACAGAAGCCATAATTACTGTACCTAGCTGTATGTTTCGGACCCACACGCTCTGTTTAGTCTCCTTGAGGATTTTCTCAAAGTAAACTCCGGCGAATCCACTGGACACACAGGCCGTCAGCACCGCCATCAGTCCCACAAACTGGGAGCCTGCAGAGAGGATCTTCTGCTCAGAGTCACCCTCAGACTCTGTGGGCCACTGGGGAGGTTAAACACATGCAGACCGCAAGAGGACTTAAAATCTTTCAATTAGAGTAATATAAATCATGTAAGACTAAACCATCTAATGAGTGGAGTCATATTCATCCCACAGAAACAAATCACATTCATGCTGCAGTTAAATCTGTGTATTTGTGTCTTTACACTTTCTGTGTCATGCTGATACCTGCACCAGAGTGACTCCAGCCATGAGGAAGAGCAGCGAGAGCCACTGGTAGAAGCCCAACCTCTTCCCCAGCATGGAGACAGAAAACAGTGCAGTGGTGAGAATCTTCAGCTGGTAGGTGACCTGTGTGGAGCACAAACAGAAAGTATGGTATTCAGGTATGTACATATGACAGAGGAACATCAATCACATTAGCACAATCCTAAGCAAACATAGAAAGGTCACTATAGAGCAGCGGTGTAGTGTAGGGAATGCACAGGTATATGGAGTATATGCACTTATCTTTCATTCAGTATTGGGTATACCCACTTCTAAATCCTCTCTGATATGTATCATTCAGTAGTGTTCTGCAAGCTGAATGTTTTTCCTAGGATGGCGAAGGCATGACATAGTTGTACAAGTTTCATGAGTGGATGGGAGTAAGGAATACTTCACTCAAAAAGTATGTAGTTGTCTCACCCATCTGTTGAGTGCAAGATCTGCAACTCTTCTGTGGCAAATGTTTCATAACAATTACAATGATTTCTTGGTAATAAATCATTGAACTGATTGTGTCCGCCTGCTGCTGTCTGCGTTTGACTCCTCTATACACTAGTCGTGACAGTACAATCTGGCCAAAAATTGACTCAGACACACATTGACAACAGCCCTGCCTGCCTTTTTTATGGCATGATTTTGGAGTGATGCAGGATGTTAATGATGACGAGCCAGACTCCCTCGCTGTCTACTGACTTTGCCCAGTTGGAAGCATTATAATGGTGAACTAGCTCTGCTCTACGTCCTGTTTGCTCCTGAACCCAGCCTCCTCTGTGTCTGACTCAGGTAACCTACAGCATGTTAGCATCCAGCATGGGAGCTTCCAGCTAGCTTCCCAGTCTGCTAGCAACCAGCCATCACCTGAGCCTGCATTCCAGTTGACTGGGCTCAGGTTTGTAGCCTGCAGGCTCTGTGTCCTGAGCCAGCTGGTCTGCTACCTGCCAGCCCTGAGCCGGCTCTTAAAGTAATTTGAGGGTACAAATTGATGGAACTAAACAACTATAATGAACACACAAATTAGTTCATTGAGAAAACCTATTGTAGTTTGAGGGCATTTACTGGTTAACCAAGGATTCATGAAAAAACCTTTTGCATGAAAAATACTAGGCTTTATAAATCCAAGGCTACGTAGTAAGGCAAATGCCGGCCATACAGAAGTCAGTAAAATTATACACACACACACACACACACACACACACATACAGTGAACCTAAACCAGCACATTAATGTGTTACCTGATAGGTGGCTGCATCCAGGTTGGATAAGGCAACATAGAGCAGATTGTTCTGCAGAGTGTAGATCCCGGCAGGAATGGCCAACTTCATGGTCTCCACGGCCTTGTTCACAATTTCCTCCTTCAGTAGCTGGTTCATTGCCCGCACACTGAAATCTGGCAGAGACAGAGAGTGTGTTGTCAGTAATCCAACCAAGGGACCACCCATGGAGATAAAGAGTCAAAAGAATGTCAAAATCAGCCATCCTGATGAGATGACACCTTTAAATAGACTAAGAAGTCCTCTCCACCCTTGCTACTCACTGTTCTCCATGAAGACGAGCAGGGTGCAGGCAAGGATCTTGAGCACCTCGGACGACACCACAGCGGACGAGGCCAGGTAGCGGGGGCCGTCTTCCTTCAGTGTGCGGGAGTAACGCATCGTTAGCACCAGTGAGGTGGTCTGCAACACCAGCACCCCCAGAGACATATACTTCAGCCTCAAGGAGTGTGGCGAGGACAAGACCATTGTGGAGGACTTTGTGCTCGAGTCAGCAGACAACAAAGGATCCTTCAGGATGGACAGAAAGAAAAATAGACAGAATGGATGAGTGAATTCAGATCTGGTTCAGTCAGAGAACGGAGACACACCCGTATTTGCTAGCTCCTCAGCACCACAGTCTCAGGGACTAATGGAGCATGTCCTTCAACTGATGCAGTAAGAACAAAGCTGCTGGAGTGTCCACAAGAAACCAGTTTCTGCCTTGAGAAACTAGCATAACATAACAAAATTACGAAAAGAAAACCATGGAGGGAGCATGAAAGTCAGGAGTCATAGCGGAACACAGAGAGAGGGTAAACTAGTTAGACAGTGTGAGAGGAGAGAGTGAACAATCAGGAATGCTGGGCAGTAGTTAAAGGGTATTTAAACAGAAAGTCCAGCCTGAGGCAGTCTCAGGCATTCCTGTGACTGGTCTGCAGTCCTGGAGCACATAAAACAAAGATCAGAGCAGCAAAAAGAATAATGGGGACAGGGTGGATGTATTTTACAGTACAACTCATAGCTCAAAACAGCTGTCACCTTTTCTCTACTTCGTATGGAAAACTGTCCTCCACCAACAGAAACCAAAGAAGTACTGATTCAGGAGGGAATAATTGGTGAATCATTGGTGAGTCTGAAATCTAAAGTGACCAAACCACCAATTTGTTGTATTATTAGAACTGTTATATTACACTTACTGTCTCTGGTTAATGACATAGGCTACCAGTTGTTAGTTAGATATGCAAGTTGAATTTGTCCTCTGAGGCAATTAAGTTGAACTGCATTTTATTCCTCAAAACTTTATTAAAGCTGTTATAAAAGACTGGCTGTCATTGCAAGAACTACACCCTCAGTATTCATAGCTTCTATTTTACATTTGCTTTTAAATAACACTCATGGCTAACACTGGTATAACAGTCAGAGGTGGGAGAAGTACTCAGAGCCTTTACTTAAGTAAAAGTACAATACCACAACGTAAAAATACTCTTACAAGTAAAAGTCCTATATTTAAAATCTTACTGAAAAAGTGCCCCTGTGACTGATATATAGTTATATATGACATTATTACACTGTTAATTGTGAGATTATAAACTGTATCTTATCTATTAGTCCTCAACAAAACACCAACAAAAGCAGGTTAGGTTGACAACAAGCAGATAATTATTACCGCTCTCGCAACTCCGCTGTCCTGAAGGCTCAACAACGGACATTCGTCACTCTCTTGTCTTACATCCCCTGACTGAAGCATTGTATCTCTGAATAGTACTGAAGGCACTACAGCCCCCATCTATGAGAGGGAGGAACTGAGGGACCTTCCCAGATTTTTACGAGGTGAAACTGAGCTGTGGAATGGCACAGGTGGATTGTTGACATTGTAAATGTAAATTTGCCAATTTGCATTCCCTTCAGACTGTTAAATCAATTTCCTTATTTTAAGCATGCAAACTAGTTGTTAGGTAAAAGTAACATGGGAATTTGTACATCTATTTTCACTTTTACTGACAAGCTGAGAGACAAAGTCCACTGATCCATGTCATAAAATGCTCTTATAATTTTTAAGTATCCTGCGAGGATGTACAACAAGCCATGAAGGCCAAAGAGGTGCTGACAGAACAAGAGGTGTGGTGTGTTCAACACAATGACCTCCTTATGCAGCAGCTCTGCTTAGCAGAGGGACAGCATGGCTGCACAGTCTCTCTCTGTTTGTGTGTGTGTGTCCTTCTGCACACCCAACAAACTCTCCTCTCTCTAAGCACATTTTAGGAACACTACCGACTTTGATTTTCTGTTGCCAGCTATGCAAGGATCTTCACGTGTTTATAAAATCGTCTGCTAAAACTGACTTGAGGCCGCTGAAAGAATATTGAATATTTAAACGTGTGTAGGATTTACTGGCATCTGTCAGTGAAGTTGTAGATTGCAACCAACTCAATATCTTCCAAGTGTATAAAATATCTAATGCCAGTGTTCAGTTTGTCCATCCTGGGCTACAGTAGAAACATGGCGGTTTAACACAACAGAAGAGGATCTGCTCTATCTGTAGATAAAAACATCTCATTCTTACTACGAAAACAGAATTTCTATATTCAGGTGATTAAATAATAATGAAAACATACCTCTTATATATTCCATTTCTGACAATAGACCTTTAATAAGCAGCATCCTTCTGGTGGGTCGGTCATCACAAACTCATACTGCACAGCCAAACATTGTTCAAACTGACAGACCTTTATTTTAAATCCTAGAGATCAGAAACACACCAAACATGTCAGGCTGAATTTGGAAGGCACCTATGTTTACCTGCGGTTGGATGGGTGATGCAGTATTCAAAGGTAATTATGTTGTGGGCTAAGATGGTTTAGGTTGGTTTCTAGACACCTGTTTGTTCATTACCTGTATCCTGGCCATTAAGTTGGTATTGAACACTGTTTATTGTAATACAAAGTAGATTTAAAGCAAGGGACACAGTTAAATAAAATGGAAAAAAGTTATTAGCTGATAATTGAACGTATCACGTTAATAAATAGTATAACACGCAATGTGCTACCTGCATCAATTAAACAGGTCATATTAGCACAAGCCTCCCATGGAGTAGTTCATTTATACATAATTACTGCACTTAAGTCCAGTTTAGAGGTACTTGTACTTGAGTATTTCCATTTTCTGCTACTTTATATTTAATTTCCACCACATTTCAGAAGGAAATATCAATATAATGATATTATATTGTTTTTCAGAAACACTGTATCAGTTTCTGTGTTTAAACCCCTAAACGCTGGATAGCAGTGCTGTAAACATAAACTGAGGGCTGTTATGTTGGCTGTTATAGTGACTGTGATAAATATAAATGTAGATCCCACTGTTTACTGGTGTGTTTATTATACTATGATGCAATATATATATATATATACCTCAATATATTGAATCATGATACATATTGTATTCAGATTCTTGCCAATACACATTCTTACTTTTTCTATGTATTTGATAGCTGTGGTTTTTAGTTACAGATTAAGATTTTACATACAGAACATATAATACGTTAATAAAATATGATGCATTGTTGTAGATTAAACTACCAAACAGTATATAAAGTAGTTGACATTAACTCCACCTCCAACTATAATATTACAGTATACTGCTTACATTTGAATGCATTAATAATCAACGATATAATAACACAACAGCTCAGGGTCCAGTCTGCATAAGAAGTACTTTTTAATTTTAAAACGCTTTTGTTGCTGATACTTCAGTAATTTTACTTTTGAATCAAGAGTTTTACTTGTAATAAAGTAGTAAAGTATTTCACACATGAAGTGCAAACTTAACAGAACACAGTAGTAACTGTTGGGTCTCTGTAAATAATTTGATAAGGAGTTCGGTCCAGACCTGCTCTATCTACCAGCTCTATTTGAAAAGTTCTGGAGATAACTTTGTTATAATTGCGCGTATGTACAAATTAGAACTAAATTGAAGCTGAATTAATAATACACCACCTGCTTTCTTTAAAAAATAAGTTTTTAATAAGTCTTTAGTTTATTTAAACAATGAAATTCTTACTGCTCAGATTATTGGTGCAGAGTTTGTATTCAACATAAGCAGATGTACACGTCTGTTTATATTAGTATATTGTTTATATATTTATATATATATAACCATATATATGGTTCTATATGGTTCTCAGCAAACACTCACTGAGTCCCAGACAGAGATGAACAAACCTGCTCCACTAACCTGTGCAGCAGACTGGAGGGTTGGGTACCTGCCTAGGGCCAGAAAACAAATGAGGACCAACAGTCTGAGGTTATGAAATGACTGCAAGCAAAAAGGAAGGAAGGCTGGGAATGTGTGTCTTTAACATTCCCTTGAACACTGGGTACTGTACATACTAGCGTCTTTATCACAAGACTGACAATACTATCAGCTTTGATCACACAGTAGCTTTGGCAGCCTCCACACTGGTGTTGCGAGCAGCTGAGCAGCTGAGCAGCATCTCAGCGAACACATCATGTTGTCATTGGGCTCAATTACAGTATTTCCTACATACATCCATACTTTCTGATATATATGTCTCCTATTACAAATGAAAAGCACTGATGTGTGTTTCCATTTCAACTCTGAATATCAAAACTGGTTTCTTGGTATTTCAACATCTTCACAAACCAGGTTCCTCATTTTTTTTTTCTTTTGCAAAGCAAATGTGTAGCATCAGATAATAAAGACCCAACTCAGGTCAAAGGAATCCAGTGTCCCTGTGGCCTTGGTGAAGGTGGAGCATCCACTTAGATCTGCTCCACCTTTGGGACATTTGGGACAAGCATAAGCTGGTCCTCAGCTCAAAGGAACACTAGTGAGATAAACAGGTCGAGATGTTTCTGAAACGTGTCTCTGCTGACATTCTGTGAATGTGTAAAGAATGAATTACAGCCTACAGAGTCTTTCAGCTGAGCCGCCTGCTGCTGGTGACGTGGATCTGACTCCCATCACCAGGAAACCTTTCTTCGTTTGTTTTAATGGGAGTTGACTTGCACAAATATTGAACTTCAACATCATCAGGATGTGGATCCGTCAAAGAAAGGAGCGTGAACGACGGAAGGATTTAACGGCTTTTTCTAAAAGCCCACATGACTGGCCCCTCTGACAGTGAGGGGTGGCTTTATATTGCGGGTAATAAAGCAGCATTTGATCAAACTGTCCCTGAAGGGGTCTTGACAGAAGTAGCAGGAGGAGCGCAGACAGAACAGATGTCTCTGCAACAGCATAACTCATCTGTTGATTCATCATCCCATCTGGCTCTTGTAAACGCACTGATTGTCTCAAACTGTCCATCACACAGTAACTTACCTGTGGGGATGGATCTCAGCTGAGGACGTGGATGACAGGGTCCGCACACTCATCCGCTGGATAGTTTGCTCCTTTTTGCTCTGCTGCTCTGACAAACTATGGCCAAGACACACAACTCTCTCTCTCTCTCTCTCCTTCTATCTCTCTCCTCTCCTCGACACACACCACACACACACACACACACAGCTGTAAGATTAATAGCGGTGTACTGTGAGTTTAGCAGGGGGACGGAGTCTGTCCCTCTCTGTCCTGGATGAATGAATCGCCATGCACGGACAACATTCTCCACATGTTTGGTGACACCTGTTGGAGAAAAGAGAAGTTGCACGGTTTTACACAAAATGTCACGATGCTGCTAATTATCAGACTAAACCAGAAAGCATTGAGAGAACACATAGGCGTAAAGAGTTTCTGTGAGAGGGTTATGGGACTTTTTAGGTTAACTTCTGCTTAAACTGAAAAAAGTTAGCTGCTGCTTTATACCTATTTCTTCTAAATAAAGTAGTGAGAAATACATTTTTAAAATACTGTGAATTAAATTGTAAACACTGATAATGACTTTAGAGACATAAAAGCCCTTTATTAGGATTAAGAGATTAAGATTATAATTAAGAAATTAATTTATATATAATAATTTCTCCTTTTTTAAAATGTTATGATTAATCTTAAAGTTTTAAAGTTTTTCTTTATTAAATTTTTAAATATTTTTAGGTATTGTGAGACTTGTACAAACTGCGGATACAATGTTTTAATGTGTCAATGACAGGTGAAAGAGGTTTTAAGGGGGCAGTCAGTGATGTCTAATGTTGACACGCGGTAGGTGGCGCTGTAGCTCGAGTTGACATCAACGTTTCGACCTGTAATCTTTCACCGAAGAAGAAGAACACGTGTTTCCTGTGTTATCCTCGCATGGGAAGCAGTCAGCCTCGTAAATACTTCAGAGTTAGTCAGTGAAAGGTTTTAAAAATGGTCCGTAAATTGAAGCACCACGAGCAGAAGCTGCTGAAGAAGGTGGACTTCATCAACTGGGAGGTGGACAACAACCTGCACGAGGTCAAAGTGCTGCGGAGGTTTCGCATCGAGAAGAGGGAAGACTACACCAAGTAAGTACCACGGTCCTACCACTAACTGCCCTGATACC